CCACAGGCAGGCTGTCAGTCACCCTGAAACAATAGAGCTTTTCAAAAGGGGAAAATCAGGCTTAAAGGCTAGATAGGAACAAGCTGAAATTTAGGAGTCAGAGGTACATATACTATATTCACATACTCAGGCTAGAAATGGCTCTGAGTGAGCCTGCCACCTCACACCTCGTTTTAACAAAAAGCTCAAAAGATCAAAGCCAAATGCTGATTTAGGATCCCAACAATCTCCAAGAAAACAATTTTTAATCTGAAAAATCTCAAGGCAGGAAGTAATTTAAGAAGAAATGCAGCTCAATTTCTTTATTTACAAGATGGGGAACTAAGAACTAAAGGTTTCAGCACCCAGCAGAATGCTGGTCTGACCCCTTCCATACTGAAGAACTGCACAGAAAAAAACCCCAAAAGATTAAAAATGTAAGTACATAGGGGAACTCAAGAGCTAACTGAGGGATAAAACTCAAACACTCACTCTTGGCAGTCATGGTAACAGTGATGTTGAAGGTAGGGGCTCCACCAGTGCTCTTGGTACGAAGATCCATGGTAAATTCCCCATCCTGTAGCAGTGAGTCCCGGATCACAGAACATTTCTGGCCCCCAAGTGTCAGCCCATTCACAAAATAACTTGACCGGTCTTTGCCAACCAGGACACCGACTTCAGCTGGCTAGAAGATGAATCAAGCACCCAAAAAGTCAGTGCACCAAGGTTCCCACCTTGTTCTCCATGAACACACTTGTTTTCTACTTATCTGGAGCTAGAACTCTAGATTAGGGTGAGTGTTTTGTAGACATCAGTGAAATTTAAGAAAGTACTTTGGGAAGTTAGTGCAGAAGATCACCTCGATCCTTGAGTCTAGTGAATAGGCCAGGGAGGAAAAGACAAGATTCCTTCAGATACTCAGATCTCAGTGTTTAGTAGGCAGAGGAAACCCAGGAAAACGGGCCCAAAAGCCAGTGAGGACAGTGGGGAGAATTTGGATGCTCAGAAGTCTCCTTCAGGAAAAGCAGAAGCAGAGAGAGGAAGGGAGGGGGCGGGCAAAACAGGAGAAGCAACTTTGCCCTTATTTGGTCAAAGGTTCTTCAGGAGTTGTTAAGGGCCCGGACGCCTGGGTCTCCAAGTAACCTAGAGTTTAAATCCAGGTATGTATATCTCAAGAGGAGGAAGCAGACCCCTGGAGGCTTTCCGGGAAAGTTGAAAACTTGTAGGAGATGGGAGCTAAACCGGGTAAACGAGCTCTAGGGTCTAGACACCCCAGGGAAACTTTCTCCCCCTCCCCCTTACACCCCAAACCCCCATATCCGGTCCCCTCCCGCCCGGAAATCCCCTTCCCCCCTTTCGAACTTCCGCTACCCCTCCCCACTTCCGGGCAGTGTGGCCAGGGGAGGTGGTCGTAGGGACAGCAGCAGTCATCCCTCATCCCGTCACTTTGACTAACTCAGAACTTCTCACAAAGTTCCCCTGCTCCAGGCCCCGCCGTATGGCGGGAAGGGAGGGCGAGGGTACTTCCGGGATTGGCCTCACAGGAATGTTGAGGCCAACGTGCCGAGTTGGGGGGGGTGTGGTGGCCTCGCTCTCTCTAACGGAGTTGGGAGGAGCTGGGAGTCCACGGAGGACGGATACAGTGATCAAGCCCTAGTGCCTAGGACCCCCACCCGTATTTGGGAGAACAATGGTGGAAGGGGGCGCAAGGTGGCTGACGGAGCCGGGGGGCCAGGTTTTCCCAGGTCCCTCCACAATCACAATTCCTAGTTGAAAATTGCAGCGCGAGTCCGCCCCGCCCTGGGGGAGGCGGAAGTGGGGAGTCCACGGAGGACGGATACAGTGATCAAGCCCTAGTGCCTAGGACCCCCACCCGTATTTGGGAGAACAATGGTGGAAGGGGGCGCAAGGTGGCTGACGGAGCCGGGGGGCCAGGTTTTCCCAGGTCCCTCCACAATCACAATTCCTAGTTGAAAATTGCAGCGCGAGTCCGCCCCGCCCTGGGGGAGGCGGAAGTGTGGG